GCACTTAACCACTCGTGCCACCGGGCTGGCCCCAAAAAATAAATGTACTTTTAATGTTCATTACTTGAATAGATGTACATTTACATGTTCAAAATTCAGAAAGTATAAGGTATGGCAGGTAATGTCTCCTTCCTACCTCTGTTCCTCCTCCACAAGAAGCAAAATTATGTTTCTTGACATTCTTCCAGAGATAATGGATGAATATATATATTCATTCTTTATTCCCCCCTTTTCACATGCACATGGTAGAGTGCTACATAGATACCACGCTTATTTCTTTAAGTTGTCAATATATCTCAGAGAGCTTTCTATATTACTAACACATTCTTTTTTTTTCCTTTTTTTGTGAGGAAGATTGGCCCTGAGCTAACATCTGCCAATCCTCTTCTTTTTTCTTTTTCTTTTTTTTTGCTGAGGAAGACTGGCCCTGAGCTAACATCCATGCCCATCTTCCTCCACTTTATATGGGATGGCGCCACAGCATGGCTTGACAAGCGGTGCATCGGTGCACGCCCAGGATCCGAACCGGGAAACCCGGGGCCGCTGCAGTGGAGCGCATGCACTTAACCTCTTGCACCACCCTAACACATTCTTTTTTATGGCTGCAGAGAGTATTCCACGGTATGGATGTGCTATTTTATTTTTCCATAAAATATTTACCTAGTGTTTCAAGGGCACAGAAGTTTGTTTCCAGTCTTTTTCTGCTTACAATATTGCAATGACTAATGTGCACATACATCATTTTACACGTGGACCGATACCTCTGGACCATCTGCCTCTAGACATTCATATGACAGAGAAAAAAATGTTGTTCGAGCTACTGTAATATCAGGTGGAGTACCAGTTATATTCCTTAGGAAACCACAGAACAATAACTGCTCTACCTTTGGGCATTTCTTCGGAGGGGACAGCGTTTGTGATTATCTCATCTTCTCTTTTAGTTGAACCAACAGTATTTGGACTTGTTTTGCGCCACACCAAAGAATCGTTACCTGAAAGAGATGTTGGAAAGACCACATTAGCAACGACAGTTTATGAAAGGAGATGACCAGAATCCAATAACTCACTGACTCACCCCGAGTCCTACCTTGTGTAATCTGACAACCAATGAGCTCCACTTTCAAGGCTATCCTCTGGTGCCACGTCTGGGGGACAACCCGCACATATCTGGCCACAATGGGAGGGATGAAATTATTCCGCACTGGATCTCGAAAATTAGAGTTGCCCTGAAACACCTGTAGAAACGGGTAACTTTTACCTAAAGATTCTATTAGTTTTTAGGTCTTTATCAAGCCACTCATATCTGGTTATATGAAACCAATGTCTGTTGCATTTTTATAGACATTTTTGATATTGAAGATACAAGGCCTTGCAAACAAAGGCCAAGTTATCTAACTACAGTGGTGCTGCGAATCTGTTTTCTGGAAACACACTGATGAAAATATTTGGAGGCCTGCTCTCTTACTCAGCTCATGCCTCCAGAGTTTTTCTTACCTTTTCTCCATTATTCACAATTCCTTTATAGGTTCTCCACTTGGAGTTGTTGTTTTTGAAGCTCATCACAAAACTCTTAACATAAAAGTTGAAATTTGATTGTGTGGATCCAGTGGTCTTAATTCCTTGTAAGAAAATATTATTTATAGGTTAGTTTTAAAAATACTTTATATATATATATATAATGTATTATAATTTCAGGTTTCTTTTCTTTTTATTTTCTTGTTTGAAATCTCAAATCATTTTATAGGCCAACTTTTCTTATCTGCATTAGAAACCTGATCACAGAGGAGTGTTTTCACACTGACAATATGCCAGAAAAAGGTTTCACCAATGAGGTATCAGCTATGTAATCCATACATCCATATTTATAACCGCACACAGGTTCTTCCCACAGAGACAACGTGAAGATCTGTTACTTTACAAAAAGACATCGAGTACTTTGAGGTAGAGAGAGACGCACTTCTCTAAATCAAAAACATAATTTCAACGGCGAGTCATTTTTCATTCGTGCAATTGCACCTCTGTCTGTACCTGTTATTTTCTTTTTCTCTCCCAAATCGATCTCCAGCCACTCTCGTTGCCTGTGGTTCTTGCTGCTGTCCCCCGAAGCCCATGATGGGCCTTGGTCCTGAAGTCGGGCTTGGCCAGGAGACCAATGAACTTGTTCTCCAGTCTCATTGACCCACTGCCAAGAAGAAGAAGCTCTGATTTGCCTGTCAGGTTCCAAATTCAAGGATCTGCTGCAACCTAGATGAAAAGAGCAGGAAAATATTTCAGATATAGACACAAAATGAAAGGGGAAAAAAATGTACCCCCATCTCACCTAGAATTATTCAGTTGATTTACCTCCATTGTGATACTGAATTAACTGTTTAATGACTAGTTTTTTAATGATCCAGACGTGCATTTGACTCATGTGTACTTAAGTGTATTGAAATTGTTGCTGCTTTTCTTTTTAATAGACCTCGCCGAAGTCACATCTCCTATAAGGGACATCTCTTTGTCTCCACTATAGATTTTCCTTTCTAATCTTCTAAATTCACCCCGATTTCAACAAAGTGCAGGGTGTCTTAAAGGTTTAAAATGCTGAGGCTCTTCTCACTTGATCAGAGTGGGACTCCACTCTCTGAACCCTTGAAGAGTGGGTGCTTCAGGTGATCTGAAGATCAGTAAACTGTACCCAACATAATCCTTAGGAGGTTAACTCTACCATGTCCAAGGCAATATGGAAGTCGTAAATAAAGGCCAAAGAAGACACACTCCTATTTTCTCCTTGAAATACTTTAAGTGAGGGAGAAGATTTACATAGAATATATTCCATGACAGAGGGGCTAAAAGGCCTTTATTTTATATACTCATTTTCAGTTACTTAATTCAAGATAACCATGAAATCAAATTGCACTATTTAAAAGCTTTCTCTGTTAAAATCTAACATAAAGGAATTTATCTTAAAATAAATGTCGTTTCAAGTTTTCATTCTTTTTGGCAAAACTTTGAGCGAGCTTAGATTATAAAGAAAAAATATTATATTATATTTAAAAATATTATGTTATTGGGGCCAGCCCCGTGGCCTAGTGGTTAAGCTCGGCGTGCTCTGCTTCAGCGGCCCAGGTTCAGTTCCCGAGCGTGGACCTATACCACTTGTCAGCAGCCACACTGTGGTGGCAACCCACACACAAAATAGAGGAAGACTGGCACAGATGTTAGCTCAGGGTGAATCTTCCTCAACAACAACAAAAATATTACGGTATTAAATTATAAAGAAAAATATTTTCTGCTTAATGCTAACTGGGCTTCTTGCCTTGTGTATTTTTAAGTCACAGCATACTTGGTGCTATGTGACCTGAGGAAAAAAGAAAAAAAAGTCCTTTAAACTAAACCATCTGAGGGATATGGAAGAATAAACTACCACTGAGGATTTTAAAATATCAAATTCTTAAGGAAAGCATGGTCCTTACCATTGGAGGTAAACAGAAATCGCTTGTCTGACAGGGAACCACTGGAATAATAAACACAGACATGAGGAGGTGAGTTGCTTAACTGGATCTTAATGACTGATACAGCCCTATGGCAGAGGGCTCCCAGAGCCTTCCCACACCTATGGGACCCTCCCAGCACCCCGGCAAGGCCACTGTTAACTGTCTTCATCATTGGTATTTTACAGATCAAGAAACCCAGGCCCATGAAGGGTAAGCAACTTTCCTAAATTCAAGTGACAAATGGCCAGGGCTCTGAGACACTGCTTTTGAATCAAAATCCTGTGCTGTTCCATCATGCCACATTGTATTGGGAAGGAATGTGCACATATACTGTCTCAGGAACAATCTTAAATCCCAATTGATTAATATATGGTGATGGAGGCAGAAAGGATCACTGCCCTGAATACTCTTTGCTTCAGCAGTCACCTTAAAGCATCGCATTCGTCAACAGTCAAGGACCATCGAGAGAAATGAAGAAGCCTGGCCACTTTTAGAAGAATGAGCATGTCATTTGCTAGCTACCTTCTCTACAGACTTCTCTACTCCTTCCCTGGGGGTCATGCCCCAGCAGTGTGGCTCTGGGGACAGCCTCAGCCCAGTCTCTCTCTCCAGTCACACTCCTACCTGCTGTAGCAATGGGCACCAAGCCATGACCCAGCTCTTGCTTCTGGATGACAAGGGACAGCTGGAGAAAACTCATAGCTTCTCACTGACCTGGCCTGAACTGGCCCTCAGTGCTGCAAGACCGTCCTCCTGCTCATCTGGCCTTGACTCTCAGACCTCTGGACCCTTGCAGTCCCAGAGCTTGTATTACTCTCAAGGGCAAAATTATCAAATCAGCCTTGTTTTGCAATTGTCTTTGGTGGAGTAGAGATTCCTATGGCCCAAGACTGTATTTACCTTTTTGTAAAGCCCTCACCAATTCACCGGTGTAAAAATATGCAAAACAAATAGAAAATTTGGAAGTCTCAAGACTAATCTTACGTGCATAGTACTTACTATATTAGATACTAAGGTAAACACACAAAAATGTAGATGTCACTGTTAGGTTCAATTGTTTTACACGCTGGGAGTACTGCTTATTATTTTAAATGTTTGGCTCTGAACTATATGTGGAAATCAGGACAGAGTACAGAAATGTGAAATCCACAGAGAACCCAAAAATAGTCTGGACAAAAGTACAAGCCCCTTGCCATCAAAAATTTTTTTTAGAAGTAACAAGTAGTCAAACTCTCCGGAATGGATTTTTCTCTTTCATATTCTTTGTCCACTCTCAGACAGACACTCCACAAGCCCCGGTATTCCACATAAAGGTTCTATTATAATCTCTGTGCTGAATAGAATGCAGGCACCAATCCCTTCTCACATGAGAAAACGCAGACCCCCTTGGGTCATGAGACTTGCCTAAGCAAAGCTCGAGTGAGGGCCCAGCTCTCCTAACCTTTAAAGAAAGGTGCATATTGTTGCAATTCATATTTAAATTTTTAATAAGATTTATTTAGAGCCTCTCTTTTGATTTTTCCATTTTCTCGAATGTTCCTGCACTAAGTATTACACTTGAAATTTGCCCAAATAAGCCCAAATAATACTGCTGCAACCCTGAGAGCCTAAACGGGGTCTCACGGCTATGAAACATTAAAATACTTATTTTGTTGTGGTTGTTGAAAAAAAGAAGTTATGGAAAGGAGAACTTAGGAGTTAACCCTGAGAAGACAACGCCAGCCAGGGAGGGCTCTGCGTCTGACAGCTCTCAGCCTGGCTTTCCTCCATTATCAGCTGGAATGTTTTTCCATCTCATTCTATTAAACTAATTAAATACAACCACTCAGAGAATTCTATAGGTAAATGAGCCTCCTCTTTTAAAAATGAAAATGCCCTAGGGAGGGTGGGGTTGTGAGGCATTCACACATTAGGGGGAATGAATTCAATCAGATTTACAGGAATTGCCAGCCTTCCCAGAGGGCTACAGAAGTCATCAAGAATAGTCTGATGTAAACAAAAAGGAAAGCCTTCCTTGCTGATGGTTGGAGCCACCATCCTCTGTATGAGGTCAGCCCTCTTCCTGATTCCATTCTGGTCTCTTCAAACCAAGGAAGTGACCTGACCCGGGATGAATCCCAGAAGAACCCTCGATATTTACTTTAGGGACTCCTCCTTCCTCAGCTGCAATGCTTCCTTCTGTGTTTTTTCCTGAATGCCAAACAATCGTGTGTGGGAACAGAAGTTCAATGACCGCACGTACAGTGGTTCCCCAACAGCAAAACAGCACAGATAAAAACAACTGCTCCCTGAAGATTTGGGAATTGAAATGAGTGGAAGAGACTGTGTTTGCATACAGTTTACTCTTCTCTGCTCAGTACAAAAAGTCAGTGCAAAACACAGCTAGAAGTAAGAAGGGACCTTTCTATCTCCTCCCACCAGAACAAAAATCAGACAAATTGTTCAGATAACTATATGGAACGTGGAGCCAAGCTTTTCCTAATTCATGAATGGTTTCGGTTTTTGTACTCTTATTTTTGCATCAAAGTTTAATTTCAAATTATATAAAGTGACTTCGTATGGATGAAGCCCAGTTGATGTAGCAGAAGTAATTGAGAACATAACATCTACTTTTACTCAATAATTTTAATAATTTTTCTTCAAAAGTAAAATAAAATCCAAGTTAAACTTTTTACTATCCTATTTTTCTACAAAAGAAGCATTCAAATGAATACGAACATAGGCAAGAGATTCCAAAAAACAGATTTAAAGCTAAAGGACAATTCTTTGTTCCTATTTGGAGATAGCACCCCCAACAAATCTAGGCCACAGCCTAGTATCTTCCTGAAATAGTGCCTAGTATCAATAGAACAAACCAGAAAAAACACAAAAAGAAATAGATCCTCAAAAGTCAGGGTCAAGCTGACATTTAAAGCTTACTGTGCATAAGCAATATAAATTTTAATGTTCCGAAGGGTTTCAGGCAAATATACAAGTGAAAAAATATATATACATATGTATGTGCATATATGTATATATATAATACCTGTGTGCATATGTATATAAAATTTTATGTGTAGTACATATGTGTCTATATATATTTGTGTGTGTATAGTGTGTATATATATATTACACAACAAACACACACACGTATATATAAATTTTATTTATCCGAGTAAGGATTTTAGTTTCTAAAGGCATCCTGTTACTAAGCTTTTAGATGTTAAACTTTGGCACAAATTTGGGACTAATTTATCTTTGAATGTCCGGATAATACAAAAAGAACACTTAGAGGCCTCTCATAGCTAAAAATCCTATCCAGGGGGAAAAGTAAACGGGAAGGTCACGGCAGGCAGAGAACACAAAAATAAAGAGATGAGTCTGCACGTCCAAGCGTGCAGCATGTACCCTCTCCTTAGCGGATGACTGCCTTTTATAGATTGCATACAGCATCGCTTGTGTTGCTTGTGAAAAGGTTGGACTGGAATACCCTCTCCAGTCACCCCCACCCGCACCCCCGAACTCGGAAGTGCCTTGGGAGCTCTGCCTTGACTCTACCCGTGTTCCCTGAAGCCTTGTTCCTGCCTTCCATCAAACCTAAGGCTTGCCTCTTTCATGAAGGTGACCCAACCAACTTCTCCCCCAACGTCAGTCACTGCTTCCAAACACCTTGTCCTGTGAGCCTAGGCCAACACCCCCAATCCACAAATCCCAAAGTTCACTTGTGAGTTCTTAAGTTGGTTCTTTGGAACTTAAAATTCATTTTCCTAGAAAAACAACGTTATAACTTGGGGTCAGAATCCCTATTTGACCCACAATATTGCTAAACTAAACTACGATACATTTAAATAAAAAGTAGAAGGGGAAGGAAAAAAATTATTGTATAACTTTCTCAAAATGACACCAGAATCACTCTATGTTAACTAACTTGGGAACCTATCTAGCCCACATAATATGATTTTTTTACCAGATAAGATGGTCCATAGCCCACTGTGAGAATGCAACAGTAAAATATGATCATGCTCTGTCTGCATGCAAGAGCGGACCAGGGCAAAATGGCAGGGGCAGGGAGTCTATACACACAGACTAGTGAGTGGTAGCAGAAATGAAATGCCTATAGCCTCTGGCTTGTGCCATATTCTTGGAACCAAGACCACGTGGCAACTTGTCTAAAAGAACATAGAGTGGCAATAGCAGGAAGACATTTTGGAGCAGATAGAGAGGGAGGGAGCAAGAGAGAAACACAGTGGCTCGAGGAGCCCTTTTCCCTCACTAGGCGTCCACCCAAGAGGAGCGTCCCTCTGGACCATTCTAAGCTGCCTGTTTATATGGCGGACATCTGGACCACAAAGCGGGCCTATATTTAGTTCTAACAGCTCTAGTTTCCCACTCTGAAAGCTGAGGAAACCTGAAAGCATTAAAAGCTGAGGTTGAAATGTTTAAAGAAACTGACATAGTTTTTTCTCATGAAGTTGAAAGAGCAGGGGATAACATACCAGAGAAATTACCAACAATATTAACAAAAGCTATCTTTTTTTCACCTCCCAAACTATTATTCATCATTAAGAGATTGTCTCTAGGGATCTTCTGGGGAGCTCAGGGTTCTGTCTGAGTTTATTTCAGTCCCCTATCTCCTTCAGTATCTTCGGTAATATTGGAGACAGCCAGTAATTTACTGAAAGTGGAAAAACTAAAAAGAAATAAGCTTTATTCTCTCCCACTAAAGCACCTGAGAGTAGGAATAGTCCTCTGCCCTGGGACTCCACATCTGTGCCATTTTAATTTATTTGTCAGCATAAACAGTGAGCTCTTTTATTGCCACATTTATCTTCATGTAGACACCATAAATGCCGCTCTAAGCACTCACGCATATTTTTCTCAGTTGACAAACCCTTGCTATCACATGCCCGCTGTCCTTTCAAAATTGTGCGCTGTTTAATTATGCCTTTGGGGTTACCTTCCACTCAGAACAAAAGGCGAAGTACTCACTCCCTTGAGAGCACACCATTGGCCAGGATTCCTTCATATCGACTTATCCCTTTGCGCTGAAGCACGCTGATCTGCCCACCCAGTTCATCTGCAATTATTCCTGCATGGATGGCAGCTTTGCACAATAAAGAGGTCTGAAACACAGCAACATCATCAATCGTAGCTTACTCAAGAACACATTTAAAATACAATGGGAGTTTTCCATTTTTTTATAACTTGTGGTCAGGATCCCTATTTGACCCATGACATTACTAAACTATAATTCACTTAAATAAAAAGTAGAAGGGGAGGGAAAAGATTATTGTCTAAGTATCTCAAAATGACATCAGAGTGTCCACATTTATGCTGACTAACTTGGGAACCTATCCACTAGGAAGGTAAGTAGGTAATTTACAGTAGTGGTGGCCCCCCCAGTGAATAGCACCTCCCAGTGGCCATGCCCTGAAGTTGGCCACAGAGCTTGCTGCTAACATGGCCCAGTCAACTGCCACAAATGCCAGTGAGGCCACCTTAGACCCTCCAGCCCCAGAGGAGCCACCATGACTACAGCCACAGGAGTGATTCCAGGCAAGGGGAGCTTCAGAACTGACCAGCTCAAATTGCTGACCACAAATCATCAGCAAATAAAATGGCTGTCAGTTTAAGTCACTAAGTTTTAGAGTGGAAGCAGAAATAGATAACTCATTAGTTTCTTGCATTTGGTTTACCAGATACACATACTAAGGATCATTTGAGAAGGCGAACCTTGCATACCACAGCTTCATTGTACAATTAATTTAGAGATTTAACAAGGCATCAAAACCAAAATGGTAATGTTAGCCACAGAACACTACATGGAACAGCCAACTTCATGAAGTTCTTAGAGCGATGATGAGCCACCCAGGGCCCACAGCCTACACCTCATTTCCTGAATCTCTGCTGACAGGGTCAAACAGCTGGCACCTGCTTAGCCCTCCAAGGCTATCGGCTGGTGTGACAAGCCAAGCGGGAGCACCTGACTGGCTCTGATTAGCAGGTATCCGTGTGACTGGAAGTGGCCCATCGGAAAGTGGGGCTAGAAGAAGGACTAGAACTTTTCCATGGGGTGCCCAGGCTTGAGGTCTCCATGAGCACAATACCTGTGTGGGAGGGTGATTAGGCAGTCAGCCCAGGACTGAGGAGTGAGAAGCATCATTTTCTAAACAATGCCCCACTTCACAATGGTTAATGCCAAAAAGAGAAAACCAGCTCACGAAATTGTGTCTCAATAACCGGACTTGGGAGTTTCTCGTTGTGTTAATGACAATTACCTTATTTGCAATGGAAAATTCTCTTAGATTTAAGCTACAATCTTAGGAGGACCAATGAGACAAACCATATTTTGTAATGAACGTTGCTGTAATAAAATTGAGAACTTTTGTGATCTTCAATTTAGAGTTCACATTTCCCAAACTAGATTAGATTTGGCAAAGTGAGTTAGTTTTGCAATGACTACTATCATAGCCAAAAAAAGAGGATGATTTCCTGACAGAGAAGAAACATGAGAATGCTGAAACACAGATGCAGGTAGTACTCTTCTTGATTTTGGGGGAAAAAAGAAGAATTCGAAGAGAAAAAGAATGTACTCTAAACAAACAGCTTGCGTTTTTATTTTTCCTGAATTTTCTTCAAAAGGTTTCTTATCCCTGTTTTAGACTCTTGGGGTGCAAAATGGAGGAGCCAGTTGTAAAGGAAAAGTCTGGAATGTAAATTCAGCAATTTAGCTCATCATACTGGCTCTGCATCTACCTCCAACAGGTGTGCTGAGTCATTTCATTGGTCTGGACCCAGCTTCCCAATTCATCTGTACAATGAAAAGGCTGGACTGGATGATGTCTAGTATCTTTTCTAATGAGTCTGTCACCTGTGACTGTAAAGGGTACTCTGTGTACCTATTACAAGGTCCAGGAGGGCCTGCCTCTCTCTTAGCCCCAGAACGAAAAGCAAACTGGTCCAGTGGTCTTCTGGGCAGCTATTCCTACTGTCCTGGGATCATCTGTCTTCCTTGGAATTGGTCTGGGAATGGGATGGCCTTCATCCCAGGAGCCCTGCCCTGTGGAGAGCTCTCAATGGACTCGGCATGTTCCAGGGCCTCCTTGGTTACAAGAGGACAAGTTCACAGGTCAACAAGCAATAGAACCTACCAGCCAGCAAATATTCTCATATCCTACAGAACACAGTATTGAGGGAACTCAATAGTATATATACCCTTTTTATGGAATTTATTTAATTAGAGCTCACATTTTTCCCTAATATTAAATGCAGGCCATAAGATACATCTCCAAGAGAATAACCACCAGATCTGGCTATCATATTATTATGAAAAAATTATCAGCCCTTTCTAGGATTATTTCCTTAAAAAAAAAAATCACTCCCCCACCACCAACTTGAATAAAATTGATGTTTATTTAAGTTGGGGCTTTTTTGGTATCAATTTAAAAAATTCGCATTCATTGAAGCTAATTTTTAAAAAATTCTCTTTTGAACAGTGAATTTATACCTTGATTTTCTAGCTATTTTTAAGGTCTAAACCTCACTGAAATGTTAATATAGGAAAGCCACATCACTGGCCTATGTAAATTAGTGAACTGCCTTAAACAAACTCAAACAAAATAATTTAAATGTAAATGTAATTATTCAGGAAAAAGAATGCAACAGACAGCTGAGGAGAACACGTGCATGGCTCATGAAATTGCAGGTTGATGGCATTAAACATTTCTGAATTCACTGAGCCACAAAAGATGGCCAAACAGATCAGCCTGAGGTAAGACTAAAACAATTTCAAAGCAATTATCAAATCATCCCAGAATTGGAGCATTTTTCTTAAATCTTTTTTTAGGAAAAATCAACTTATACTAAGAAGTATTGACATAGTATTAAAAGGAAATTTTAATATAAAAGAACAGCCATGCATCGCTTAACGACGAGGATACGTTCTGAGAAATGCATTGTTAGGTGATTTCATCATTGTGTGAACATCATAGAGTGTGCTTACACAAACCTAGATGGTAGAGCCTACTACACACCTAGACTATATGGTACTCATCTTATGGGACCACCACCGTATATGCGATCCGTCATTGACGGAAAAGTCAGTATGCGACACATGACTGTAAACGTTTTAGACTGCATTTAATAAAACCTGAATAAAGCACATGTTTAAAATGTTAGCGGAATGACGGTGAAATGTTAAATTATAAAACTATATTCCTCAGTCTATCGTAGGAATTGTTTCTATGTCGCTACAGTCTTCATAACTACCATATTGATAACATTTTCTTTACAAAAGTAACATGCATTCATTATAGAAATGTTGCAAAATATGAAAAAAATAAAATCACTCATATTGCCATTGCCCAGAGACAATCGCTCACCGTTATAACATACTTCCCTATGGCTTTTTGTGGGTGTGTATAATAGGCCTGGTTTCTCCCCTTCTCCTCCTAAACTGGAAGCACTCTATATGTACGGTCTTTTTTTATTTTACAATACTTAAACATTTTTTGGGAATGGAGAATTGCTGAAACGAGTTAATTAAGTTAATTAAGTCTTTCTCTTAAAAGCAGATGGTAGAGTCAGCAGGCTTGGGAGAGGGTACCAAGAGAAAAACTGTTCTGGGGGTTTTTTATTTCTGGTTTCCAGGTGAGGCAGATCTTCAAGAGAAGCCCATACTGCTTCACTGGCATGGTAAGCATACGCAAATACGGATGCCTTAATACATCAGTCATGGAGATAGAATCACAGAATCTTAAGGATTCAAAAAGATCTTTAAAGGTCTCCACCAACACGTCCTGAGAGACCGTCCCTTTCCCCACCCCCACAGTACCTTCCCACACATACACAGGCCATCTCTGACAAATGGTTGTAACATCTACGCTGGACACTTCCAGTGACCAGGGCTGTTTCTTGAGACATCGTATCCCACTGTGCTCTGTTTAATATTCCTTATATGCAGCTAAAACTGGCCTCCCTCCAACTTTCATCTAGTGATCCTAGTTCTGCCTTTTGGAACAACATAGAGAACCAATTTCTTTTCTGTAATTGCTCTTTAAAACAACATATTTCTTCCCTGAGACAGAGCACCTTCTTCTGCAGCTTCTCTGGTAACTTGTTTTTACAGATTCTGTCATCCTGATGTACAAGATATGCTTTGGTTTTGCAAAGACGCTTCCAGAAAAGACTTGCTAAAACTGAACACATTTTCTATGATGAAGGTACCATGGAGGACAGACTTTAAGATAACCCCCATGCTATCTGCCTCCTGGTATTCCCCCATTGTGTAATCCCTGTGGGTGTGGGTAGGAGCTATGACTAGTTAGATTAGTTCTTCTAACTAATAGAATATGGCAAAGGTGATGGGACACTACGCCCACGATAATATTAGATAAGATTGTAACATGTCTTGCTAGGAGACTCCCCTGTTAGGAAACTCTCCCTTGCTGGCTTGGAAGAAGCAAGCAGACATGGAGAAGATCCACATGGCAAGGAGCTGAGGGCAGCCTCCAGCCAAAATCCAGGAAAAACTGAGGTCCTCAGTCCAACAATCCATAAGTAACTGAATGCTGATAACATCATGTGAGCTTAGAAGTAAATTCTTCCCCAGTTGAGCCTCAGATGAGACTGCAACTCCAGCTGACACCTTGGATACACCCTTGTGAGACCCCGAAGCAGAGAACTTAGCTAAACCATCCTCAAACTCCTGGCCCACAGAACATGAGAGATAACATATGTGCTGTTTTAAGCCTCTACATTTGTGGTAATATTGTTATGTAACAATAGATACTTAATACACCCCCAATATCAACATATACAAAAAAGGCACTAATCAGACTTCTTGGAAGAGATTAGTTTTCAAAGTACAAATTTTCCCTCCAGATAAAATCATTCTAAAAGCAAACGGTGTAAAACCAGTTAGTGAGTCAAATAGGAAACCTGTTTGCTGGCACTTGCAGATCAAGTGCTCAGATCTACCACACAGGAAACCATTTACCTGCTACACTGAAAAAGACAGCTCTTCAAGAGGAGCCAAGATAAACAATTAATGTAAGAAAAAACAATGCTATTTCTCTTATTGTACATAATTATTAAGTTTCTTGCATGGGACAGGAAAATAATAAAAACATTTTATTGCTAGGGGGAAGAACTATACTTCAACTTTTTATTTCTCTTAGTTAATTTCCTGAAGTCATTTAGAAATAGGCTGTGCCAAGTATATTTTCAAAGTGAGCTAGTATAAATCATTTTAAGATTCAAACAATTTATAGGCCAAATGGATATCCTGTGTCAATCTTCTAAATAAAGACAACACATGAAAAAGGAACCAAAGAGCAAAATAACAAAATCTGCTGCTTTCAGAATCAAGATGCACTAAAAGCAAAAATTAAAGCCAAGTTTTTTCCCCCTGCTGGAGATGAATTATCAGTCTCCTAGAACATGTATGTTTTCCCCATGCATGAAGACATGTCAATAACTCTTAGAAAAGTTCTATCACTATACAGATTTTCACATTTCTAATAACTCAAGCCAATTCTCATAAGCTGGAAACCCAACTGTTTTAAATAGCAATGTAAATTTTAAAAAATCAGATATCAGATTTCCAGGATAGAAATCTATAAATAGTAAAAAATGAAGGATTGTGTATCTGCAGACAGGACATACACTTTAGAAAAATGACTTCTTGTGAATTTATTTTTCTCTGAGAACAATATATATAACCCAGAGAGTCTCATTAAACTTAAGAAATTGAGGTGCAAGGAAGGAGGGGAATAACACATAAGAGTAGGTTAGATGGCTTCACTGGTCCCAGACACAATGTCACTATTCTGTGAGGTGACTATTCATGGCCTTAGCTATATTACATGAACCAACTGGAGCATTAAAATAAAAACATAAATTATAACAAAAAGGATGACCTCTTATACAAAATGGATGGAACTATACTCTCAGATGTTGAAAAGGATTTTGTTTACTGTTTTATTTACAGTATGCTTAACTAGAAATGCTAAAAATAGGAATGGATGCATGAATAACCTTGATTTTTATACTTATTATTTCATTTCTTTATTCCCAGAGAAGAATCGTGCATCTATCTACATAGTTTTAAACCTTATTTGACTATACTTTGTAATGAATTTAGGCAGAGCAATAAGTACTTACTCTTTTTAATTTCCTCCCTGCCATAAAATTACCCTCAATTACTTACATCTCTATATCCATCCACCACATTCCCAGAAATGTCTCCTGCTATGTCTCTACAACCAGCTGGGCAGAATTTGCTGGAAAAAGAAAATAGAGAATTTATATTTTATTAAATTATACTTAAGTTAAAAAGTATTAAATTATACTTAAAAGTATTTTCTCTCCTCCACAGAACATGCAGGAGGGCATATCTTACTTTAATGACAAATCAGAAACCTGATTTGTGAAAATACAGATTAATCTAAAATATAGTAATCTGAAGGCAAGTCTTACACAATAATTATTTGTTTTATATAAGGATTCATTATAAACTCTATTAAACAATGAGCTTCCCTAATGCATCTTAATTGATTCTAAGATGTCCAAGAAATATATATATATTTTTCTTTTTTGGTGAGGAAGATTGGCCCTGAGCTAACATCTGTGCCTATTTTCCTCAATTTTGTATGTGGGACACCACCACAGCATGGCTTGACAAGCGGTGTGTAGGTCCAGGCCTGGGATCTGAACTTGCAAACCCCGGTCCGCCAAAGCAGAGCACGCAAACTTAACCACTACGCCACCGGACCAGCACCCAAGAAATATTTTTAAGAAAGTATCTAAACACCATATATAGCATGATCTTGTTTTTATTAAAAGATATATTTAAAATATATAAAATAACAACATATGTTTTCTATGGATAAAAACAAGACAAGGAAGAATAGTTCTGGATTCTCTGAGAGTAGAATTTTGAGGAACTTTCACTTGCTGTGTCGTTTCACTGTAATATCTCGATTCACTCTACTAGTACTATCCAATAGGAACATAATGGAAGCCACAAACGTAAATTTAAACATTCTAGTAGCCATATTAAAAAAGTAAAAAGAAACAGGAAAAACTAATATTAACAATATATTCTATTTAACCCAATATATTCAAACCTTATCATTTCCACATGTAATAAACAGAAAAAATTATCAATGAGACGTTTCCAGTCTTTTTTCTTTTGCACTGTCTTCAAAATGTGCAGTATATTTTATACTTACAGTACATCTCAATTTGGACTAGCCACATTTTAATTACTTGATAGCCACACGTGTGGCTAATAACAAACAGTGATGGCCTACATTAGTTATAAATTACTTTTGTAATCAGAAAAAAAGGTGTATGTATATTTTTCAGTTTTATTGAGGTATAATGGCCAAATAAAATTGTAAGATATTTAAAGTGTTCATCATGATGATTTAATATACATTATCCATCTAGTTAATTACCACATCACCCCACATATTTTTACATATAAATATATATTTGTAGCTATACATTTATATAAATGTATATATTTTTTGGTGAGAACATTTAAGTTCTACTCTCTTAGCAAATTTCAGTAGAGTGTTATCTGCTATAGTCATCACATTACACATTAGATCCTCAGACCTTATTCATCTTATAGTTGAAAGTTTGTACCCTTTTACCAACCTCTCCTTATTTCCCCTACTTCCCATCCTCTGGCAACTACTTTTCTACATTCTGTTTCTATGAGTTTGACTAAAAAAGGTATATTTTTAAATTAGGATTCCATGTACCTAACAGTCATTTTTCATATTGCATATAATCCCCCTTAAATTTAGTTTCTTCATTTGTAGTTCCTTTAAGCATCAACATATCAAAAAACTTTGAGGGACAGCTCTACGTCTATGAAAAATGTGCAAAAGGAAAGTCAAAATATCATAAGAACTTTGACAACTTTGAAGATGAATGCCATATGCCTTTGTTTCTATATATACCACATTTCAGTCATGTTTACTTGGGTTGTTTTAAAAAAATGTACCATCCCAAACAGATTCCAAAACAGCTGTTGCTTTTATTTCATTTCCTCTCAGTTTCCTCTTGCTGACTTAGTAAATTAGATATCTAACAACCTCTAATTATCAAAACTACCCAAATAAATGCTTCATAATTCTTTCCTGTTGACCTTACAGAGTCCAGCATTGCAGCAATAACCAAGGAATTAAGAAATAAAAATAATGGGGAATCCTGCTACAGATATTTACAATTCCTTATCCTAACCCTTAGAGCCAGATGTATGTTAGAATTCAGAATGTTTTGGATTTTAGAAAAGTAAAACAGTGCCAATGATGTATATGATGTAAGATCCCAGTGAGGTCTGCACATATTAATCAAAAACATTAATATCTCTGAATCAAATACATGAATAATCACATTAAGTCAAATACATAAAGACTAAATAGACTCAGTAATTCAGTCCAATTTTGCTGTCAAATGAATCTAAGGTCACACTAATCAGTTACTGCTACCAAATGAGTTACAAAAACCTTTTGGGGCCGGCCCTGTGGCTTGGTGGTTAAGTGCACGCGCTATGATGCTGGCGGCCCGGGTTCGGATCCCGGGTGCGCATCGAGGCACCACTTCTCTGTCCAGCCTGAGGCCGAGTCCCACATACAGCAACTAGAAGGGTGTGCAGCTGTGACATACAACTATCTACTGGGGCTTTGGGGGCAAAAAATAAATAAAATCTTTAAAAAAAAAAAAAAAAAACCTTTTGACTTTCAAACCTTTCTGCATTTCACAATCACAGATGAGGGATTGTAGACCTGTACCTCATCTTTAACTAAATCCTACAGAACAGCTGGGCTACAGCACACCATAATGTCACCCTGTAGGCCTGAGTATATCCCTTTCTTTAGGAGGACAGGAAGTGACCACTGATGCCCAGAGGCCCTATTACCATCAGGACTGTATCTATAGCTGGAGAGATCTCAGAGAATGTTGGTACTTGTCTACATTGGATGAACGACAACTTTACAGGGCAATACTTAATTATCGATCATTTAAATTTTGTTTTTCTCTAGTAGACTTAATAGTAGTTAACACTAGAGTTGATTGCATATGAAATAATCTCATTTATTAGAATGTCTGAGATGGTTAGGACCATGGACACTTGAGCCTGATTCTCTGGGTATACTTATTAAGTGTGTAGCTCTGGGCAAGTTACTTGCACCTCTGTTTCAAGGTATAACAGAACCTACCTTGCAGGTATGTTGGAACATTCACATGAGTTACTCACATGCTAAGTCCAGAGAGCGCTACCTGTCACTAAGAAAGCACTCTAAGGAGTGATAGTTGTCACTAGTGTTGTTGTTGACAATGATCTCTAGACCAGTGGTTCTCAACTGGGGGTGAATTTTGCCCATCGGGAGACGTTTGGCAATGTCTGGAGACATTTTTGGTTATCACAACTGGCACACAGTGGGTAGAGGCCAAGGATACTGCTGAACATCCAACAACGCATAGAATAGCTCTTCACAACAAAGAATCATCCAGGCCCAAATCTTGATAGTGCCAAGGTTGAGAAATCCTGTGCTACACTCTTTTACTTTACAGATGAGAGAACGTACAGCAAAGAGATTAAGTAATTTTTCCAGTTAAAGTAAAGCTGGGATGAGAAATTTCATTTCTCAAAAGGTTTCTCTTTTGTAGGAAAGACAAAATGAATCTCCTCCAAAAGTGAAAGGATTAGAAAAGTTGCTCCGGAATGCTGGCCAGGTAAAAAATGCACTCTAGACCCCATTATGGCTCATTGGTATTATAGTATAACACAGGGGTCAACCAACTGGGGCTCATGGGCCAAATTCAGCCTGCTGCTTGTTTTTGTCAATAAAGTTTTATCGGAACACAGCCACGCTCATTTGTTTGCATATTGTCTACGGCTGCTGTTGCGTTACAGCAGCAACAGAAACTGTACGAATAGATGTAAAAGAGGCTGCATGGCCTACAAAACCTAAAATGTTTACCATCTGGCCCTTGACAGAAAAAGTTTGCTGACCTCTGTATATAAGAAACCATTTCAAATATTCCTCATTAATTACAATATAGATTATTTTTTAAAAAAATTAAGTACAAATTGGGCCGGCCCCGTGGCTTAGCGGTTAAGGGCGCGCGCTCCACTACTGGCGGCCCGGGTTCAGATCCCGGGCGCGCACCGACGCACCACTTCTCCGGCCATGCTGAGGCCGCGTCCCACATACAGCAACTAGAAGGATGTGCAGCTATGACGTACAACTATCTACTGGGGCTTT